ACTGAGTACAATATTGTATAACTGTAATAATTCAACTGTAAACCTAAAAAGTTACAGCCAATTTTGAAAGAGATGCATCTTAGCTCAGGAAATTGTTTTGAATATGGCAATGCTATGGTAATGAAATGCTTCTTAAAGTATGTGGTTATTAAATAAATAATTTTTTTAAATCTGCAAATAAATATTGGAAGAATTTATTACCAGCAGACTTGAATTACAAGGTTAAATTTAATTCTTCAAGCAAAAGTAACTTTTTAACTGACTGAATCTACATTAAGATCTATACAAGCAGGTAAATTGAAGGTATATTACTAAAGACATATAAAATATTCTTCCTTATATTCAAATCACCTTAAAGACAGCTGTCAAAAGCAAAAATAATAGCAGTGTAGTGGGACTATAGATGTAAAAGTAAAGTATGAGAGCACTAGCACAAAAAGGGATTTGGATCATGCAAATTTTTCTCAAATAAGTATCTCCAAGCAGGAATCCGTGAGATAGTGATCACATTATAAAGTTCAGTTTTTTGCAATCTGGTCTTTCTTACCACTACAGTCTATTCCCATTGTTTCAAGAAGATAGCCCCCAAATAAGCAAAAATGTGTCTGTGAGAGTATTTCTAGAGATACTTAACTGAAGAGGGAAGACCCACCATGAATGTGGGTATGATCATGCCATGGGCTGAGGTTCAAACTGAGATAAAAGGACAAAATAAGCTAGCACCAGCACCAGCATTCATGTCTGCTTCCTGACTACAAACGCAATGTGACCAGCCTCTTCACATTCCCACCACTGCACCTTCCCTTCCCTGATGGACTTTATCAAAATAAGTTCTTCTTTCCTGACAGTGCTTTGTTCAGGTATTTTGTCACAGCAATAAGAAAAGTAACTAATACACATCCTTAACTAGTGTTACGGTTGTAATGTGAAATGCTTCCTACACACACACACACACACACACACACACACACACACACACACACAGGCTCATACACTGAATGCCTGCTGGTGGCAATAATTTTGGGAGGTTCTGCAAAGCTAAGGAGGTGGGTGGGGCCTACCCAGAAATAATGTCACTGGGGGAGGTTGGGGGGGCCAGGAGGAGGGTGTCTCTGAATGTCTGAAGGGGGTACCTCATCTCCAGTCTTCTGTTTCTTGTCCACCATGAGGTGAGTACCCTCTACCAAAGTGTATTTTGCCTTACAATAGACACAGAATTGATGAAGCCAAGGACTAGGGACTAAAACCTTAAGCCTAAATAAATCCTCCCTTAAATTGTTTCTGTAAGGTATTCTGTCAGTGATAAAGTCTAAACACATTCATCAATTTCTACCCAGATTTAGGATCTAGATTTAAGTACTGGGATTATGAGTTTAGAGCACTGGCTGCTCTTGCAAAGGACCTGGGTTCGGTTCCCAGCACCCACATAGTAGCTAACAACTGTCTGAAACTCCAGGATCTAGATTAAATATTATACTGTAATTCTTTCTCCATAAACCAATCTCCCTGTTAAACAATGTCTTAGAAGTCTCATATGAAATCTCAGTGCTAGGCACCAGATATGTGGAACAGAATGAATGAGGCTAACTAGTTAGTAATAATTTTCCCAATAAAAGTGAAGGACAATTAGCTAAGGCAATTAGTAGTGATACCCACAAACACCCGACAGCCTAGCCACCTTTAAAAACACTTTTATCTCCTTTTAGGAGTCTGTTTCTTCCTGAGGATTGACTTCCCATTTTTTTCCCTGTTAACATAAAATTCTGCAAAGGTTCTGTTACACATTTCTATTACTTACAACGGCTGGGTGGGCTGATGTCCATCACAGTCAAAGTAGGATTGTCTATGTCACTTCCCCTCCTTCTTATTCGACTGTCATCATACTCTGGGGTGAAGATACTGCTTCCACTACTAGTGCTTAAGGAGTGATCAGTAGGACTAAAACTCACAGGAGACCGGAAGCTGGTGCCCTGAGTCCTTCTAGCTCTTGGAAAAGTTTTACGACCTACAAAATGAAAACAGAATTAACTTACTCCTTTTATTAGTATTCTGTACGTTTAAGATACTTTAAAAAAAATCTACTTTAAAAAGTACAATAATATTAAAAAGCTGGTCTGATGGTGAATGCCTTTAGTCCCAGCACTCAGGAAGCAGAGGCAGGCAGATCTCTGTGAAACTGAAGCCAATGTGGCTAGCATAGCAAGATCCAGGCCATCTAGGCTACAGGGAGATCTTCTCTCAAAAAAAGGCGTGGGGGGAGAGGAGACTGGGGACAGGACTGAGAGATGGCACTGGCTGCTCTTGCAGGACCAGGGTTCAGGTCCTATCACCCACATGGCCACTAACAACTGTCAGTAACTCCAGTTCCAGGGGCCCAACACCTTCTTCTGGCCTCTGTGAGCATTGGAGGACACAGCTGCCCTTAAAAAAATGCAGGCAACACTCATACACATAATTTTTTTTTTAATCTATAATGTGGGAACAAGAATATTCCCTGAAACAGGCTCAAAAACTGAAATAACAATTATGGGGGGGGGGAATATAAATCATACAAATTCAAGTACTCTTAGTGGTAAATGCACATGTAAGTGTACATAAAAAACATAGAGGAAACCCTTCACTTTTGAAGAAGGGAAAAAATTCTCATTTCTTATAATGGCTATAAAATAAACATAAAACCAAATGGAAAGTTATAGGTAGCACAGAGATACTGGCACATCCACATTTATTTACAATAGCAAAGAAATGGAATCAGCTTAGATGTACATCAATAGAAAAATGGATAATGAAAGCATGGTATATATGCACAATGGAATTTTTTGAACTAAAGAAAAATAAAATTTATAATTAAAATAAAGAGGGGGATGTGGACCCAGAAAGCATTATAACAAGTGAAATAACCCAGACTCAGCAAAACTAAAACGACATATCCTCTATATGAGTCTAACTCTTAATGTTTATCTGTATGAATATAAGTGGGTGTGAGAGTGGGTAAAGGCTATGAAACTAGACAGGAGACCACAAAAGGGGAAAAGAGGTAAGAGGAATGTGGGGGAAGGCAAAAGGCTAAGTTCCATGAAAATGGAAAGGAGGTTACTGGGGTGGAAGAGAACTCAGTGAGGGGCAAGGGGACAGAGAAGGGTATCAATCAATAAAAATAAATTTTGTTTGAAAAATACCATAATGAAACCTAATACTTTATATGCTAATTTTTAAAAAGAAAGTTATAGGTAGCAATTTAACATTTTAAATTTATAAGGTTGGGGTTAAAGGCACATACTGCTATCCCTAGCTTTTAAGGTGAGTTCTGTGTATCCAAACTCAGGTTTTTGTGTTTTTTTTGTTTTTTTTGGTTTTTTTTTTGTCTTTTTGAGACAGGGTCTGCCTGTAGCTCCAGCTGTCCTGGAACTCACTATGTAGACCAGGCTGGCCTTGAACTCACAGAGATCCGCCTGCCTCTGCCCCCCGAGTGCTGGGATTAAAGGTGTGCGCCACCATGCCTGGCTTTAAATTTATATATTTTTAACTTGTGTGTGTGATGTTGTGTATGTATGTAGTATGTGCACATGGGCATACAGGTGCACGTGTTCACATGTATGTACAGGCCCAAGGTCAACATCAGGTATCTTCCTCAATTCTCTTCATCTTTATTTTTGAGAAAATTATTTTGGGGACAACCTGAAACTTACCAATTTGGCTAGGCTGGCTAGCTAATGAGCTTCAGGTATCCACTTGTCTCCACATCCTCCCCCCTCAAGGTTGGGGTTAAAGGCACATACTGCTATCCCTAGCTTTTAAGGTGAGTTCTGTGTATCCAAACTCAGGTTTTTGTGTTTTTTTTGTTTTTTTTGGTTTTTTTTTTGTCTTTTTGAGACAGGGTCTCCCTGTAGCCCCAGCTGTCCTGGAACTCACTATGTAGACCAGGCTGGCCTTGAACTCACAGAGATTCACGGGCCTCTGCCTCCCAAGTTCTGGGACTAAAGGTGTGAGCAGGTTTTTGTGTTTTTTGCACAGAACTTTCCAACTGAATTACCTCCTGAGACCCAGTTTTCTTAAAGGGGCAATGCAAATATGAATTTTGCCATTAAGGAGTAATTTTCTATTAATATGATTTTCAATCATTCTTTTATAGGGAAATCTTTCCCTATAAAAGTAGGCATAAAGCTACAATATTACTTTGGTTTAATTTTAACCCAATTTCCTCAAAAAACTTTTGGGGGGTTGACAGGGATCAAATATGAGTATTATGCTAGACAAGTACTCTACTAAGCTACATCCTTTTTTTTTTTTTCTTTGATGCAGAGTCTCACTATGTAGTTACGGCTAGCCTTGAATTTGATTATGTAGACCAGGATGGCCTTGAGCACACAGAGATCTGCCTTCCTCTGCTAGGAATAAGGTAAATGCCACTATACCTGGCAAAGGTATTTTTTGTTTGTTTTAAAACCAGACAATGAAGTGACGAGAAAAAATTATTTGGTATCACAAATAAGAGGTTTTCAAAACATTGGGCTCACCTTTAGTGTATCTGAGAACGCTGACCTGTTCTTGTATCTAACTGCTAGAAACTTACCGTCATTGTATTCTTGATGATTATATGAAACATGGTATCTTCTTGGATATGTCCCTCCTTTTCCAAACTTCTCAAAGATAGGGTTATCATAGTCTGTTAAGACATATGAGAATGCTATTGTTAAAAAGTCAAATATTTTTAATAAGGAAAAGTACATTCATAAATTTTATTTGATTTTTTTTTTTAAAGAACTCCCCTTCCCAGTCAAAACAGGATGTAAACAATCAAACGTGGAATTTATGGTCTAACCTGAAAACTCCTGATGATTATCTGGGTAGCTCTGGGCCCTAGGCATTCGTGATTTCGGATAGCTCTCTCTATAAACAGAAAATGTAACATTAAGAGAGGATACATAAGAAAACATTTTTAAAGATCTTTAAGGAATATCTGTATTTCCAGGTGTATTCACAAGTATATATGTAAAGGGGCTCACTTCAAAATTAACATAAATACAAAAAGGAAGAAACTTCTTCTGAAACAATTATATGATACGTGAACAAGAAGCCTGGCTTTAAAATTAGCCTACTGAGTACAGTGGTTAAGAATGAAGTATTTTGGAATCATAGGCATTTAGAAGCACTTTTATTTCAATCTAATATTGCAAATCATTTTTTTTCTGAGACTGTTTCTACATCTATACAAAGGACATATTTTCTAACTCTTCAAATGTACAAAGCCAAGTATTCAGGACAGTACACTAAAAAATTTCTTTTCTTTCTTTTTTGAGACTGGAGGGAGACAATGGATTTCCCTGAATTTCTTAAATGTTTGATGCAGATACTGATACAGACAGGTTTCATGTGTATGGATAAAAGGAAAGTAAACATGAATTCCCAAATAGAATTATCTATTCAGGATCTGTTTTCATAAAGGAATCCCAAAGGAGATTAAACAGGTGAAAATGATTCTGTCCTACAGGGTGACTATCAAAACAATGTCCTATTGAGAACAAGAGGGAACACCCTTGTAACATGCACAAATGAACTTCATGCTGCTCATGCTTGCTCCTCAACAGGTACTGCACAAAAGAAAAATACTTAAATTTTTGAAATGCCAACCTACACTCACAATTACCTAGAATGTAAGTTATTTCTAATCCAGTTACAGAATAAAAATAGTTCTAAATAGGTGACCCAACTCAAGAAAACTCTAGCTAGATGAGGTAGCGTGTGATGAGGTAGCGTGTGACTGTAATCCAGCACTTGGACACCAGCTACAGGTAGATGGTGTGGTGTTTTGAGTAAGAATGTCTCTCAAAGACTCAAATATTTTAACACTTGGTCCCTAGTTGATGCTGTTTTGGGGGTTTACAGGGTGTGGCCTTGTTGGGGGGGAAGTATGTCACTGAGGGATGGGCCTTCAGGGTTTATAGTCTGGCTCTGCTGAGGGGGAGGGGGGGGGAGGGGGAGGGGGAGAAACAACACAAGACAAGGGCTAGTGAAATGGCACAGCCCATAAATGTACTTGTCAAATAAGCCTGGAGATGAGTTCTATCCCCAGATCCCATATAACGGTAGGAGGAGAGAACCAATTCCATCAAGTTGTCCTCAGACCTCCACATGTGCACATACCATGCAAAAATGAAAAAGTGCACACACACACATACAATAAAGAAAGGAAGAAAGAAATTGTCAAAATCAAACAAATGAAAATTTTGGTAAGTTTCATGAGCTTAAAATAAATATACATAAATCCTAAGTTTGCATTTGCCTCCAAACAATTTCAGCAAGCACAAATAATCAAAAATAGCATATCTTTTAAAAAATATTTTGTTATTTTTACGTTATATGTGTGTGCAGTATTGACTGCACGTATGTAAGTGCACCGTGTCATGCAATGCCCATGGAAGTCAGAAGAAGACATCGATCCCCTGGAACTTGTGTTATGGATGATTGTTAGCTGCCATGTGGGTGCTGGGAACTGAATCCAGGTCCTCTGCAAGAGCAGCCAGTGCTCTTAATTGCTAACTCATCTCTCCAGTCCCATAATGAGATATCTTTAATAAAAATACTGAGTTCTGTGAGGTTAAAAAATTTATTCAAGATACAGAAAACTTCACTTTGCATCAATGTAGACAATTAACTGCTCTTGTGAATGTAGCATAAAAGAATTACTGATAACTCTACATGCTGTGGTATATGAATACTTATTCATCTGAACTAAAAGACAAACTATAATCAACATTACCCATCCAAAGGACTATCAAGTGATGGACAACTTCCTGAGCCAGAATTTTCTGGACTGCTTAAAGATAATGGATCCAGCATCTAGGAAAATAAAGAGGTCCACCATGATTCTATCTGAAAATAACCAAAAGTTACTTTAAAACACCTGCTTAAGGCATAACTCATATAACATAAATTATACCCATTTAAAATGGATAATTCAATGGCTCTTGGGAAATTGAGAAATGTACACAACTTTCGGCACAATTTTAGAACTCCTCCAGTACCTTCAAAAGAAACTCCATAACCAATAGCATTTTAGAGCATTATTCTTATTTGTAAATTTTATTTTTATTTTGTGTGTATGAGTGCTTTAACTGCATGTATGTAAGTGAATGTTGTGCAATGCCCACAAAGGCCAGAAGACGGCATCAGACACCCTGAAACTGGAGTTATAGATAGTTGTTAGCTGCCATGTGTGGGTGCTGGGAACTAAGCCTGGGTCCTCTGCAAGAGTAGTCAGTGCTCTTAACCACTAAGCCATCTCTCCAGCCCCTAGTGTTACTCATTTTAAAATGTCTTGTATACAGAAGCCATGACTACCAAATTCACCAAAAGAAAAATATACTTTTTCTACAGTCTATTAGTTAAGTAATTAAAGCTAAAATATTTCACATTAAGTTTGCTTACTGAATACTAGAAAATGGCCCCACTCAGATAAGATGAAGATTCAGTCACTGCTACATTAGAAAATGTAAACTACCCGCAGTACTATAAGCATGCAATAAAATGTAAGGACTTAACAACTCCATGAAAACATCTTAATACTACAAAACTGAAGCATTTAAAAAATATATTAGAGTTTACAAACTTCAGCTTCAAAAAGTTAAGTATTTATAATCTTTGAAGTAATCATTAAAAATCTGAATGTTAGTTAATCTAGGATTACAAAACAAATGTATTCATTCATTTATGGATGAGTAATATAGGAAAACTAGCTTTAGTCCAGTATTTTTCTTTATATATCAACATATAAAAGCACATATAAATTAATGAGATTTTTTTCCTTTTTTTTCATTATTTTTTCACTTAGGAAGATAGAGGATTAGAGAAAAGGTAGGCCACATATACATACATGTGCACCCACCCTAGGTGTCTGCCAAATCACATTGATTCTGAACAGTTTATCTTTAGATAAAATGAAAAACAGCACCCAACTCCAGCTTACTTGGTCCATGCTCTCTGGGATGAATTCTCCTTCACTGTTGATGCTAGTGAATGACCCGTTCCGAGCAACCTGATGCAGTTCATCTGGAATGTATCCTGGGGGAGGGGAACTTCTATCCCTATTAGTGGGACCTCAAAGAGAAAAATGGTTACGATTTTACCAATGTAAGCAAGGAAACCGATTTTTGTTTCAATTACATAGACTACATTCCTTTAAAAAAAAGTTTATATTCTTATTTTTCTTAATGTGTATGTGTACGTGTGTGTGTAAATCTATGCATATGTGGGGGGGGGGGGGAGCAGAGGACAGAGAGGGAGACAGATTCCCCGGAGACAGAGTTACAAGTGGTTGTAAGCCACCCAGCAAGAGTAGCAAAGACTCTTAACCACTAAGCCATCTCTCCAGCTCCCTAGCGTATATTTCTAACTACATGAAAGTAACTTTAGCAAATGAAATCCAGTGTGCAAAAAAACTTAATCAGAATGTTCAACTTCAAATCTTTCTACAGCCTTTCTCAACTACTACTCTACGGCATTATTTACCTAATTATAATATAATACGAATAAATACTCATATTTTTCTGGCTGCTGACAACCACTAATAACACACTATGGAATCTTTTTATCAACACCATTGCTTTTGAGTATCTGGAGGTAATTTGTATATGTCAGTCTTTAACATAATTTATGGCTAACATCATGAGGTAGTGAAAGAATAAGTGCTCTGCAGTCAGAGCTAGGTTTAAATTCCAGTGCAAGGTGCTGTATGCACTTTGGCAGCTGGTCTGCTTTCCCATCTATGAACATAGTACTACACCCCTTCTTTGTAAGGATGCTGTGATGGGAAAATCATTCAATATGAACATATGCTATGCACACTGGGCTCTAAGATATGCTTTCCATTCCCTCTGTATAATCTTCAGAAATCTAAAGTGAGATTGCTTCTTAATCATCTGGCCCCTATTATGATATGTTCAATTTTGAATCATGGATCTTATTTTTGATTACTTGAACCATGTTTTTGTTGTAAGCTCTTTTCCTTTAATTGAAATTTCTTCATTATTTAAGAAAAAAATGTAGAGTCTGGCATTCACTTAATATAGTTCATTTAGCCGGGCACGGTGGCGCACACCTTTAATCTCAGCACTTGGGAGGCAGAGGCATGCAGATCTTTTTGAGTTCAAGGCCAGCCTGGTCTACATAGCGAGCTCCAGGCTGGCTGGGGCTACAGAGAGACCCTGTCTCAAAAGACAACAAAAAAGATAGTTCATTTAATTAGTCATAATTCTTATAAAACAATAATGTTATCTTTACCTGGTTCTCTGGAAACGATACTTTATTAACACAGTTCAGGAAAGTTATGCAAGCATTTAAGTTCTATTTAAAGCAAAAAACAAAAACAAAAAACCTCAACAACCTTTAGCTATATAAAGGGGGTAATTTTTCAGTATATGCTAGCATTTGTTAAACTGGGGTAAAGAGCAAAAAAGTTAAGTAAAATATGTACAGATATCATCTACATTGTCTGAAAAAGGGTATGGGCTCAGTTTTAGGTCAGGTTAACTTAAGTTTTCTTTTTTTTTTTTTTTAATTTTATGTGTATCCGTGTATTGCCTGCATATAGGTAAGTGCACCCTGTACCCGTGTCATGCAATGCCCACAGAGGACAGAAGAGGCTGTCAGATTCCCTGGGACTGGAGTTACAGACAGTTGTTCACTGCCATGTGGGTGCTGGGATTCGAACCCGGGTCTTCTGCAAGAACAGTGTTCTTAACCACTGAGCCATCTCTCCAGCCCGACTTAAGTTTTTTAACAACTACAACCACAACCACCACATGGTCCCTAGCACTTTCACTCTTTCCATATATTCTTGCTCATAAAAGTCAATATACTCAACTACTAAAAGAAGAAAAGGGAGAAAGGTGACTATGAAAACTGCTTCATCACCTTACTTGGCAACTCCTTTTTCTTAACTTTTGTAATTGGGCATGTTCTAGACAATTTCCTTTTTCTTTCTTTTTTTAAATTTTTTTTATTATTTTTATTTTATGTGTATGTGTGTATTGCCTGCATGTAGGTAAGTGCATCCATGTCATGCAATGCCCGCAGAGGTCAGAAGAGGCTGTCAGATCCCCTGGGACTGGAGTTACGGACAGTTGTTAACTGCCATGTGGGTGCTGGGATTCAAACCAGGGTCTTCTGCAAGAACAGTCAGTGTTCTTAACTGCTGAGTCATCTCTCCAGCCCCATCCTTTTTCTTTCTTATCCTGGCACCAAAGTTAAACAGGAATACTTCTGGTATGTTAATTTAAGGAATTCAAGATGGCAATTAAATCATGCATTTAAGCCTTTTCTAACAAAACTGAAATGAATCAACTGTTCTTATTTTACGATAGGTTCTATAAAGAAGAAAATGTACAGTTAACAGCAGTTGTGCGTTCTAATTTGGAAAGCAAAATCTACTTTACAAGTGTCCTCCATTTACGGCTCTAATCACATGGTATAAAGGTGAAAACAAAGGTACTCATCTAATGCCATGAGTCAGAGAGCTGGAATTTGAAATCTAGTATCTCAAATATTCTTTTCACCATTTTTAAAGTATCTATTCTTTCACTGCCTCTTCTGTTCCAGTCACTTTTGAATTTTCAACCAAATTTTTTACTATGTCTTGCTCTCTTGCTCTTCCCCATTCACCTGTCTCCCCTTTGCTACTGCTTTTCCCTTTCAAATCTATCCCTCATACATGAGCTCATGCTATCTCAAATGACTATATCCTCTGCCCTACCTGTTAAAAATATTTTTCCACATTCTTTGAGCAATGAAATGTTTCTGCCTTATAAGACTGTAGACTACCAATGGTTTTGTATTTTTAATGATCTTTTTAAAAGATTTACTTTATTTTTAAAAATATTTTTACTGAGTTTTTGTGCATTTCATACAATGGATCTTAATCAAATTGAGACACCACACCACCACCACATTATTTTATTTATATATATAAAGTCAAGCATTTCTACCCAGATGTCCCTCAACGCAAGTTCACCCACTGGGGTCTAGTTAGCCTATCTAGAGTTTCTCCCTTTCTGACCAACTCTCCCTTACCCAGCAGTAATCAGCTGCCAATACTTCCTAACCAAAGTTGTGGCCTCCTGCCCATTTCCCCAGTTATATGCTAGTTTTTGTCTGAGTTTGAATAGGTCTTGTGCATGCTGTCACCATTGCTGTAAGTTCACATGAGCAAGTTCCCAGAGGCCTGGAAATCTCTGTTTCCTTATGTTCATGCATCAACACAAGCTCTTACAATCTTTCCGTCCCCTCCTCTGCAATGGTCCCGAGTCATGGGTGAGTAAGGTTTAATATAGGAGTCCTATCCAGGGTGTGTGTGTGTCTAGTTGTATACAAGGGCATGTGCATGCAAGTTTCAGAGAAGGCCAGAAGAGAGCATCAGAGTCCCATGGAGCTGGAGTTACCCATGGACATGGGTACTAGGAACCTCTGCAAGAGCAGTAAGCACTCATAACCACTGAGGCATCTCTAATCCCTGGCAAATGATTTCTACAATGTGATAACAACCATAGGAGAGAGGAGTTAAGAATACCTCTATCTAGCCCATTTGTCACTAATAAAGCCATCTCACAATAGAGCACACAAGATTTCTATTTCTTTATATCATAAGCTTAATCATAAAATTGAATATTAAGAAAGTCATAATAAAGCAGTCTAGAAATTCTCAGCAATCTTTCAAAGTATTTTTTAGCAATAACTAAAACCCAAGAATTTAGGAACTTAAAATCTAGCCTATTAATTTCAATGTCCTACAATTACTTAATTTTTCCCCTATTTATAAATTAAAACTTCAAGATTTTATTTGAATTCTTGAATATTAAAATACTGACTGTACAATATGTGAAAATATTTTCTCAAGGACATTAGCTACGAGGAAATAGTTAATGTATAGAAATTACAGAGACTATAAGGAGCTATTTATCAACGATATGTCTTGCTGTTGCCTTATATTAAAAGATGGGAAGGAATCAAGAAATCGCTCATTTAATGACTCAGAAACTGGTTTTCTCACCTACTACAGACAGCCGTTTTTTCCTCTCTGTTCCAAGTGCTGTATTATCCAAATCTTCTGGTGATGGCAATGGTTCTAAATTAGTATCCTACAAAAAAGGAGGACAATTAATGCTATTCTTCCCATATAAGGCTTTAAACAGAATGTCCCCACTGCCCGACAATATAACCTAACTACTCTGTATTCTTACTGGGCCTTATCAAATCTACTTTTAAGCATTTTTTTTTTCAAGGTTTTCACTTGTTTTTATTAGAAATGTTCCCATATTCTCAAATGCTAATTTAGCAAAATAGATACATACTATGCAACAATACATGTGTCTTCCCTTACTGTGTAATTGAGAAAAAACAAAACCTAAATATTAACTTTGAGAACATAGGAGGTAAGTATCTGTTTAAGGACATAAGTGATACTTCTATACATATGGCTATTAGACAAATGATTTGAGGTTTTATGGAAATAGTGAACTCTTTAAAATTTCATCAGAAGGAGTGGCACAATACCTACCATCCCGGCTATTTGGAAGGCTGAAGCAGAAAGACCACTTGAGTCCAAGAACTCAAGGCCAACCTGGGGAATATAGTGAGACTCTGTCTCAAAAGAGAAAGACATTTCAGGGCCTACAAGATGGCTCGGTGGGTAAGAGGTCTTGCCACCAAGCCTGATGACCAGAGTTCAATCCCCAGAACATGATGGAAGTGAAGAACTGACCTTCACATATGTGCCAGTGACATGCACCCCCATTCCCACCCCAACCACAAAATAAATGTTAAAAAAAATTATTTTTAAGATATTTTGGTCCTAACATAATTCTTCCTAAGTTGCCAGATTCTAGTAGTTTTACATGTATATTTTTTCTTTTGATATATTCTTATTTGTAATTGTAACTGTGTAGCTTTGAAGAGCAAGGACATTAAACTACAGCAATGAAAAATATAAATTTGCATTTAAACTTATTGAAAATGTATTGACTACAGAATAACTGATTCATATACTAACTTTTACAAATTTTGTAACTTTTATTGAGAAACAAAATCCCAATTCATACCTGTATACTTCCATTTATTACAAGTAATATCTTGAGACTCTTCATGTGAATACTACGATCCAGCAGTTCCACAGCTTTGTCTAAGTCATCTTGAGTAGTTAATGGAATTACCAGCTAAACAAAAAGGAGACCGGAATCATGCAGCCATTACACCAGACCAAGCTCTTTCATGAGCATCTCCATTACTATGGGATTATAAACCTCAAAGCTTTTAGTTCTTTATTACTGTAATGAAAGTCTGCAGAGTAGTATTGTTTCTAGACTTTGTTTTCTAGCCTATCACCACTAAAATCTAAAAATGAATATGAAGTTAAGTTGTTTGCCATTTAAATTATTCTCTTCCAGTAAATATATTTAAAAATTATTCTATGATACTTTTGTAATATTGCTAAATTTAAGGTATAGTATGTTGACCCCTAATTAGGAGGCATACACATAAACTATATAAAGATCTACTTTTCATCTGCGTGGATAAAATTCTTAATTCTTTTTCTAGTAATAACCACAGAATTTATACTTTCACCTGGTGTACTTATAACAAACCAAGTATCAGTGACAGCTGATGGAAAGGTGTCACTAACAACATATCTGCAATCTATAGTTCACTTGGTATTCACTTTTAGTATGGTCTATAAAAATAATGTGATTCACTTCCGAGACATTAGGTTTAAGTTCAAGTAAGAAGCTATTTAGACAATTTCTCACTAATGATTTGTTCTTAATAAGAAAATGCTGCCCAGGTATAAGACTTTAAATCCTACGCCTAAACAACTCTGAAGTCCCTACCTGCAGCCAAAAGAAAAAACTACTGTTCTTATCTAAAAATTAAATGATGGCTGAATTTCTTCTCTCTCTCCCTATCTAGGGGTCATTTGGGAGGGAATCCATACTGCAATTCTAGTCACTCCAACAACTATCAAAGTGCTTGAAAAGCAAATCCTGAGTCTATCCATGGCAGTCAAAAGAAAAATGAGGAGAAACCATAGATGGATACATTTAGAAGCCCTCATCAAGAAACTCTGATTTGAAAATTTGCCCTGTTCTGACTTCTCCTGGTTCCCTGCCTACTATTTGTGCCTAACTACTCTTGCCTTTACTTCTCTTCCCACTCCTTGACCCACTAATATCCATCCTCCTCATTATGATTAATCCATGCTTTTTAAATTTATTCAGGACAGAATCAATGAGATGACCCTATCGTCAGTGAACCCCACTAATATCCATCCTCCTCACTATGATTATTCCATGCTTTTTAAATTTATTCAGGACAGAATCAATGAGATGACCCTATCGTCAGTAAACCAAATGCTCTTAACCAAATTCCCTAGGTCTCCTACCACTGTCTGCCCACCTGACCCCCACATTTCAGACTAATGTTTTTCGTTTTTAAGACTACCCCTCTTTGCCCATGTCCCAGTCCAGCAGGAAATGGCTAAAGAAAGACCACCATCACCCCTTATCATCAACAAAAGGCTGGAAAGCTAGGTTCCTGACAGGCTCCTAAACTGGCAGGGCAGCTCCTGACATTCTAAAATGGTGGGTCTGGGCTTAGCCAGGGGAGGAGAAAGTCCCTCTGCTTATTGGAAGACCAACCACTCTGGAGCTAAACTACCCATCCTAACTGCCTATAAAAGATGTCTGACCTCCCCTGCTGTTTCTCTGCTCCCCAAGAGGCAGGCAGCCCAGTGGTCTGTTTGCTCTCAAATAAATTGCTGTCCCCGATGGCTGGGGGTGGAATGTGTGTGTGGGGGGGGGGGGTATAATTCACACAATTTAAGAAAATCAAAATCTAAAGTCACCTTTGCAGCTTAAGAAGGCTCTGTCGATAATATCACTCCATTGGAAGAGGAACATTGTAAAAACAAGTGAACATTTGTTACACCTATTTAATCATCCTTACTATGCAAAACATACAAAACATTTAAATGCAAAGCCTAGTTAACAGAGGATCCTCTGCAGTATAAATTCCTTAAGGACAAGGACCCCTCCAGCAGAAAACAGCAAAGTGTAGACCCCTTGGCAAATGCTGTTTACTAAGAACTATGGGGTGAACACTAGAATTGCACCCAAGCCCAAGAACAGTTTGAATGAGAAATATCCCCAAAAGGCTCTGGTATTTATAACGCTTTATCCCTAGTTGGTGGCACTGTTTGGGGAGGTTATGGGGAAGTGCAGCCTTGCTGAAGGAAGTACATTACAGGGGGCAGTTTTAAGGGTTTATAGCCTAACCCCACTTCCTGTTTGCTCTCTCTGCATCCTATGTGTAAATGGAGATGTGATTCTCAGCTTCCCGTGCTGACTGTCTTGCTGCCATGGACTGTCCTTCTAGAAACATAAGCCCAAAGAAACTCTTCCATAAGTCTCTTATGGTCCTGGTGTTTTATCACAGCAACAAAATGTAACTAATATAGTATGTAATCATTCTACAGATTTCTTCATGAAAATGCCCATTTTTTAGAAAGCTGCCATTTGGGAGAGTGAAGCAGGAGAACTGACAGAAGTTCAAGGTCACCTCAAGTTAGATAGTTGAGTACCAAGGCTACATGGCAAGACCCTGCCTCCAAAAAAAATAATAAAAATCAGAAAAAAGAAAAAAGCTGCTAAGTACAAATACAAATCAGTATAAATCTGAACTCTGTCATATATTCTGCTTACATCTGCTCACTCTCTACTTGAAACTGTATTCCCAATTTCTATTGTAGC